GTGTTGTTTTCTTTTTGGAATATGAAGCTTGGCTGCTTTTAGGATGTGATTGCATGTGCAGTTCCATTGTCTATCTATAGATTTTGGCTTTGTTCTTTGGTTATCAAGGGTTCTATTAACTTCTAAGAAAATTTTTTTCCATTTTTCACTATTGACCAGCTGCCAGTTGTATCTGTGATTCAGCTTGTGATGGGAGACCTCCTTATAAGAGTTTAGTTACTATATCTCTATCTCAATTATAATATATTTATGGTCACTAGAAATTAGGAGGTCTAGGGCTTCTCCAATATAGGCTTTCCTGCTTTGCTATGAGAAGAGTATATTTATTTAAATTTAATTGATTCTACTGCTACTATCCTTTCGGTGCCATGTGAATTCTCTTTTACTTGAGTTGTATAGTTTGTATGTGTTCTCTAGACTATAATTTATAAGAATTTCTATTTGAGAGTCTGTTGATTTGTTGGATATCATTTGTTTATATACACTGCTTTTATCTAATACTAGGTTGAGAACTCCGTTAAGGTCTCCTAAGATAAGAAGGTGCTAGTTTTTTTGAAAGACTTTTCTTATTCATTGCTTCAGTTTATTGAGAGTGTTTTATCATTCTTTATCGTTTTTGTCTATATGAAAATAGATACTTATGATTCTGAGTTTTTTTTTTTTTTGAAAAGGCGAGGTCTGCATGAATGAGTTTTCCCTTCTAGGTGTTATGTTTATAGATACGGTCTGCTATGTCTTTTTTGATAATCAGGTTTAGTTCTTGTCCAATTGTCTTTTCATTATTGTGTGATCAAATTATGTTATAGAGTGAATATTTCCAATGTTTTGATTATTGATGGGTACTATTGGTCTTGATTGTTACTATAATGTCCCAGCCTTTTGTAATACATCAGTTGAACCAGATTTATCTTTTGTATTTATTTGTTAGACCTTGGATGTTAACTGTTGTGGTTTGTCAAATTGGATATTAAATGTCTAAGTCAGTATGTACTATTGAGTTGATATTGCTGGAGTTGTCTTCTAATGTATAGTTATTTGAGAGAGTAGTGAGATCTATAAAAGTTCATTTTTGTGTGTCTTTGGGTATTTTTTTTTGTTTGTGTATTATACCTGTTATATGATAAATTTCTGATAAAGAAGATTCTGATATATTATTTATTTATGATTTCTAGGGGGCAAGGAGACTGTGTTAGGGATCAGTTCTGAGATTGTGTTTAGTACCTTGTACATATTTTGTTTCATTCTGCTTAGGAACTTATGGATTTGTTGTTATTGAGCTCAGATATTGAAGTGCTCCTTTTTATTTTGTTGTGTGCTAACTATTTTGTTTTGATTTGAGAAATTTTCTTCCTTATATTCGATTATTATGGTATCTGTGAGGCTGCTTTCTGGGACCTTCAGGTTGTATACTCTTTTATTCAGATTGATAATGTTTTTTTTGATCTCTTTGATTTCTTGTTTGATTTCTTTTAGAAAGGCCATAATATCGAATAGTGTTGAGGTGCTCTTTTTTATCCAGCTTAATTGGCTTTGTTCCAATTTGACTGCTGCTATGTAGGATCCTAGCTTGATATGATAATATTGTAGAGATCTGGTTTGATTTCTGATTGGAGTAGTACATACTGATCTAAACTTGCTGTATAGTTTGCCAAATTTCTTTGCTTGTTCTTTATTGTATTTCCTCCATTGCATTCTTCTTTCTTTAATTGGGCAGTTATTAAGTAGGTGATCTGGGCTGTTGCAGATTGTATATAGTTTGGTTTCAATTGATTACCAAGTGCAGTTGAAGTCTCCAAGTTGGAATTCTTGAAATGTGGTAGCTTTTAGGTCTTTCTAATTGATAAAGCTAATAACTGCGAATCTTTTTTTTTGGCATAACATTCTTCTTGGAATGTAGCAGGTCTTGACCTTGGTTTGTTCACAGATTTTTCTTAGGTCAAAGGTAATGATATTGAGGAGAAGGTTGATAAGTTTTGTTGCAATTTGACCACATGCTTTCATCTGATCCATGTTCTATTATACATCGAAGACTCTTATAGAGTCTGCTTTGAAGGGGACACTCTATCTATCAATTAGGGCATATTTGTCCTCTTTATTTGTGTAGGTGATTGTAGCTATCTGTCACATTTGTTGAGTTGACATTGTAATATTGCTTATTATTTCATACTTAGCAAAGAATTGTTGCACTTCTATGAGTTTGGTGTCCTAAAGAATGTCCTATACTCTGATACTGTTTTTCTATTTTAGAACTGGATTTGTGTATTCTATGGGATCTATATATTTGTTATTCATATCGAATAATGGAATATTGCTAATCTTGATTGCTTTTATTTATTACGCAAAATGGCAATAATGTATTCTACCTCTTTTTTCTTTTAACTTTAAATTGTAATCAGTCCGTTTGATGAGTTTAGGGCCTTGATAAGGAAAATTATCTTTTGAGCAGTAGTTTTGCCTAGCAAGTTCATAGCTGGGATATTGATCTTGGCTCTCTCATTATTATAGTGGGTAGTTTTGTCGAAAGGAGAAAGGGTCTTGTTTTAGTGGTTTGGCTATCCAACTTTTGTTTATTCTTGTTGTCAACTTGTTGTCAATGCGAGATTAAAACTTGGTTTTCTTTTTCTATCTTCATCTTCATGTCTGAGTTATCTATGTATGCTGCTCTTTGTGTCTTATTGGTTGGTTCTTGAAGGACTTCTTCTAATATCTCTGTGTTAATTATTGATAGGATATTGTTAGGTTAGTTTATTGTTGGGTTTTTGATAACTAAAATGTTTTCTTCAACTTCCTCACTCCAGTTGATTATCTGGACAGTTGCTGTTGATGCATTGAATGTTATGGTTTGTGTTGCCAAGTTTTAGGATAGGTTTTGAGTGCTGGAATCTTCCCTATGGGTTTTATTTTAATTGTTTTCTTTGGTTTTTCCTTTGTTTGTAGCATTTTCTTTTACTGTTCGCATTGTTGTTTCTTTGTGTGACTTGTTTGCATTATCTCTTACGAGAATGTTCTCATTGTAGTTGGGTCTTCATTGTGTCATTTTGCTACAAAGTTCTCTTTGAGAGGATATCTCTCCATTTACCTTTTCTTTTCATTTAAAAATTACTATAAAAGAAAATTTTTTAGAAAAATGAATCTGCAGGGAATATATAATGTAAGTAACTATTATATACAGTATTTAAAAGATAAAATATACTATATTTATATAATATAATCTTTAATATAATTTATTGTTATAACATTTTGAAATTTCTTTATTATTGAATAAATAAAGTATAAAATTTTTCTTAAATATTATAAACTTTAAACATAAATTGATTTATTAATTAAAATAATTATTTTTAAGACTTTTTATAGTATTAAGAAAAATATTAATCTATACTAATATAGCTAAAAATATTGTAAAGTTGAGGTTAGATTTCAAAAGTTTATAGTACTATAAATCGGGTTTTTTTTTAAATTTCATTTTTCTATAGGAAAAAAAATATAAAATATAAAATGGTTTTTCTTATACTTATATTATATGTACTATGGAAAGATAATATATTTATATAAGTTTGATAGCAAACTATGTTTTTTAAATTACAAGTTATTTTTTGTCGATAAAGTTAGCTTTTTGATTTTTAAAAAAATTTTTAAGGAAAATAAAAATCAGCAAAAAAAGTTTTTTTATTTTATATTTATTGTATAATACTTAATTTATAAATAAAATTAATAAATAAAATTAATATAAAAATATATTTCGGCAAAATTACTAAAGTCATTAATTTTTTGCTTGAAAATAAACATTAACAAATGTTTAATAGAAAAAAGAAAGACAAAATGTTAAGTATATGTAATAATGTTATACTTATTAATTAACATTACAAGGTACTGTATATATCTTATATTATCTTTTAAGATAATTGCAAATAGTTTATAATTACATCATGAAGATATTATATTTTGAACCATAAAGCCTGATAAAATTTCGAAACTAAATTTATTGGTATATTATCTATAAACTTGTTAATAGATCTATGCGAACAGAAATTTATTGTTTTCGATTTAAGTGTACCTCCTGAGCATCTACACAGAGCATGAATTGGGATATGTCAATTAGACAACTTGATGAGTAAGATTATATTTTAGGAATTCTTCTACCTCTTGTAATTATATATTCTTTTCTTCAACCTCACATCGCATTTTTTGGTTTTCAATATCCAATTTATAAATTAACTTTTTATTATAATCAAGTAAATGCTGGAATAAACAACTTCTTTTTAACACGACGATCGATATCTTCCTTATGATTTCAGGTGTATTTCTGGTTAGTATCTTCCGAGAACATATTAAAAACAATGTACCACTCGATCACGTACTGTATATTACAAATTACTTTATACGCGACGGCTCGGAATGCACGAATATATTAAATACGAAGATTATACATCGCGAAACGGATTAGTGGTTACATGTGAAAGAAGTTAAGTAAATTTAAAGCTCAAGGGACTAGTGATAGACGAAGAACCACAACTTCCGATAATCGCAATAACGGCTAAGCAGAAATTTTTTACAACTCAGAAAAAGTAAGTAAAGGGAAGGTACGCATATTTAGAGGTGATATGAATTTTAAGGTGCAATAGATAAAATTGGTTTAGGGCAGTCATCGCCTCTCGAAGCAAGCCTAGAATCTTTCCTATGCGAAAAAGGCTTCATTTTATATTTTTCTATCCTTTTTTTTATATTCCTATACTTCTTGCGGCTTAACCTTTTTTCAAAGGGTATCTGAAATATTTTCGGCTTATAGTGTGAAAAATTATTACACTAAGAATGATATTTGAGTATATTTCATGAGCCGTTTGTAGTTTGTAATGTCAATTCACAATCTCCTTTTTTTAATAAAACCATGATATTACATGTGCAAAAAAAAAAAAAAAATGAAATGAAATGTCGCATAAGTTTATTTTGCGAAAAAAACTCAGGCTTCGACAGATTTTCCAGAACATTTCATAGAGCATTAATTAATTATTATTCTGTTTTCTCAATAATAACTGCTGAATTCGGTATAGATCGATATTGAAATTATTGGCATTTATCGTGTTAGGAACCATTACAGTATATCCAGCCACAATCGGAACTCCTGCAATGATCGTTGGGTTCCAGAATACATCTGAAACTGGAATGCTAACCTGATAAGCAGGAAGGTTTGGTGCATTGCACCCAGTTGCAACTTGAGATACTTTTTGAAGAGTCCCAAAATCCCACTCTTGGAATTCACTCACTCCTTGGCGCCAGAGCTTAGCCTGTACGTATTCAGAAAAAAAATTTTTTAAGTACAGAACAGCAAAATAATGAAACATGTGAGCATACCGTCATCGACCGATGATATTGTCCTTGTGCGTTCTTTTATAGTCCTTTTACCATAAATCTTGATCCCAAACACGCAACGCACGTATTGCTGACGCATCCAACGCTGGCACTTGGCCTCCCAGACATTGATGTCTCGATACAAAGATACCTCACATATTATCCTTGCGTGTGAGTTACCCTATGCGAAATATATTATTAAAACGAATATAATGCGCATTAAATCTAAAAACTTACAATTCTATCACTAGGAGGAGGCCCGGGATGCAGAAGAGTAGGCTTCGGAACATAAACCTCACTTGGATACACAGCAATGTCTGGTGCAATCTTTTCTCCAGATCCAGATGGACAATAGTGAACTATGGGATGAATGAGAAAATTTAAAAAAATAAATTACAAGATCAGACTGAAGGGAGTTCACCTACATGGTTGACCCACAACATCTATTGGAGGATTTTCGATATCACCACCGTTGGGAATTTTGAAATAATTTTGTAGTAGAGAAACAATAGACTCATGTTCTCCGTCAGCCATATCAACAATGAATACGTCGCCGTTATCCCTTAATTCGAACTTGTAACCAGATGACTCACAACGGTAAAGGAAAGCGTTGTATTGTTCAACTGATACGTTCGAACCAATTTGAAGAGGCAAACTGCAACAAACTCAAGTTAATACATAACAAATATTAAAAAAATAACGCGCATGGTGTTTACCCACCTATTTTCATCAAACGGTTCGTCTGGTAATTGGAGAACTTTTGAACGTACTGTAGATTGGAAAGACATTCTCGATTGGCATAAAATTTCAGTTGCATATGCAATTATTACTTAATTACATAATTGTCGATCAAAAATTTATTAAACGAATCTGATAATAATACCAGGAACTATGACAATCAAGAAAAAGATGCTGGTGATAGGTAAGAACTAATGATGCAAAGGAAAAGGTTTAGAATCGTTTATACAATTAGAAAGGTGAGTGTTATCGCATCAAACGAAAGGTACAGTGCATACTATAAGTCCACCAAGAAATATGAAAAATCCTTCGACCATAAAAATCACAGCTCCAACAATAATAGCTTTTATGCTGATCCAAGATATGAAAATTATAATTCGGATGCTGACGAAGGTGGCCACTAGATATGCGAACCAATGAACAAAGGGTTGGAAATAAGACATTTTATATAAAAGTAATATTGGTCCGAAACAAGGTGAAATCAATTTTTTTATGAAAATCAATCGTTACAAACCTATTTATTCAAATACTGATTTGATGAAATAAGTTGTCGGAAAAGTGGAACCGGAAAATCTCGCGCAAAATTCATATACATATTCAAAAAATGATGCTTTTCAGTTACATTATGACGATTAACAACCAATTATATAACTAATCTAGATATTCTCTTATAAGTCGTAGACATATATTCTTGTTTAATAATAGGCGAGATTGGCCTAGGTGCTGGATTATTCGGTCTGTTATTTATTACAGTATATCATAATGATCTGATGCTTGATTTTTTTGTGTCTTAATGATAATTTACGAAGCTTGTTACAATGAGAGTCATTCCTACCTTTAATGAATTATAATAGCATTATCGGATTCTATTTTTCTTAAATGCGATGAACTAAGGCTATAGAGGATTAAAAAGTTATTAATCAGATGAACATTCGCATCGCCACCTTCATCCTTCATTAAAAATGAAAATCTCTCGGGAATTGACTTGAATCCAGATAAGCAATTCTTTCCATCGATACAAATGGTCTAGACTCAGCATTTTGTTTTTGATATAACCAGTGCAGTACCAAGAATATTTAGGATTATACCACTCCGCATTACTTGAGACATAAGAATCTATATAAAAATTTGTTGTGTCTGTTGGTATAACATTACCATTATATCGATTAAATTTTCCATCGTTCGGGATTAGCTGTCGTCCCTGCACTTTTTCTAAAAAAAAGTCAAGACTATCAAAATTCTCATCTTCAAAAAACTCTTTCCTTCTCCTTTATTCTTTATTTGATACATGAGTAATGTCTGGGAAATATTTAGCTTCTAATATAATGTAATTGGCATTGAGTTGGTATAATTCTTCATAAAGCAATTTAAAAAGTGAATATTAAGCTATATCAGTAGGGTCGGTTTTTGCTAAATTATTTAGTATCAAATCAAGTTTTTTAACTGGATCCCTACTTATAGCACATCTTGAACAGGAATTAAAACATATGTTTAATCTTTGCTAAATCCTAATTTCTAATCCAATTTTATTTTAATCACAGGCCTTTGTATTTTTCAAATTTTTAATCAATTCTTCAATACAATTATCTAGTTAGGCTATGCACATTTTGGGATTAAATTATAATAATCTATTAATAGAATAGTTTTGAATTATAATTATAAAAAATATATATATTTTTTAATTTTAAATTATTTATCCTAGATTGATATACTATATATAATAGGTAACAAAATTTTTTGAAATTTTTTATTTATTCATTATTTAAAAACTATTGTATGAAAATTAATAAAAAACATATCAAAATAATATTAAAATTTAGAACTTTTATTAATATAAAATTAATAATTAATTTTTTTATCTTTCTTTTCAATTATTATTTATATCTCTTTTTTATTGAATTTATAAAACCATATTTAGAATTTTATTCTATTTTTCTATCATAAACTATTCTAATTTTAAAATATTTTTAAGTACTTTTAATTCTATACTTTTTTAATGATTGTTCTAAAATTATCAATAGGATTTAAGTTTAAACATTAGAAAACTAATTTATAACTTAAAAAATTATCATTAACAAATATTATAACAATTTTGTATATATATTTTAAATTATTATTATATTGAAAATAAAAAATTATTTTTAAAAAATTCAATAATTTCTAATTTATGTTTTATAAAATATTACACAAAAATTTTCATATATAATTTTTTAAAGCAAAAAAAAAAAGTGTTTTTTAAAAAAATTCTTATGCAAAAATTTTGATATGATTTTAAGTATTTTTTTTTTAACTCACAATTATATTATAATGGCTTGTTTTTATTGAGAAATTAAAGTAAATCCACAATAATTTACAGACTTTCATAAAATAACCAACTTATCTTTATACATAAGTACTCTAAATCAAATTTTGAAAACAATATTATACTTCCCTAATAAATTGATAATAACCTCTTTCTATCAGAATAATTGCCAACAGTTTGTTACTATTAATTGTCTGAAAACCAATAAATTGCCAAGTTAAAAAGAAGAAAGAAAAAAATAATTAGGAAAGAGAACAATTCAAGATCTACAAAAAAATCCAAAAATAAAAACAATCTCTTCTCAATAAAGATCTGTATAATTGAAATAGTTTTCTTGCTTTACTTGAATCCTAAAAGAAATTTTCTTTTTTACCACCTGCAAAATTAGACAAGTCAATTCAATTGATCTTTTATTTAAGTAAGTACTGGATTTGAATATCTCAAAGAAAGCATTTAGACCTTAACTTTTTTCCATTAAAGCTTTATTACCACTTGAGGAATTTAAGTAAGAGATGAGAGTTTGCAATCTATATTATTCATTACTTTATCTTTTACTGTCTTTCATTAGGGACTTGGACTTTTAGAAGCAAACATTTCTGGAACCTTCTTTCCAATCACCAATGACATTATTAGAATATGTGAATGTAATCAATAAAAATATATTTATATTTCAAAAATTAACATTTTTTACGTTAGTCAATCACCTTTGATAAGGATTTGTGCTTTTCAAAATTCAAGATCAAATCAAAATAGGTAAAATTTCTCAAAAAACTGTAAAAGTATAAGCTCTAAAAGGGTCAATACAATTAAAAAGGAAAAAAATAAGCCTTTTTATTACAAAAAACCTCTATAAACATCTTACTTTAAAGGTTATATAGGCCTTCAGATACTTTACAATCAGTTCTTCTTCCTTTGAAAACTTTCTTACCATTGATATCAAAGATGTTACTTGACTTTTCTTGATTACTAGGAGTCAAGTTTTTGAGTAAAAAGATTTGTAAACAAAAGAAAAAGGGTAAAAGTGATTCTTGAAGTCATACTTCAAGTTGTTTTGAGAAAAGTGTTAAGATTTTATTAATAAGAAATATAAAACTTCTTATACACATCTTTTTTGTGTGTACTCAAAGAATCAGCAGAAAGAGTTTTATGATTTTTAAGTATTCTTTTAATTGATTATATATTTTTATTTATTTATTTTTTGAATATCAGTAGCCAAAATAAATTATAGTTTATTAATCAACTAAAAATAGAAGTATATTTTTACTAAAGCAATATGATATATACTATAGTAAACACTTTCATCAAATTTAATAAATTTATTATAAGTAATAATAGTTTTTAAACTTGACTTTAAAAATAATATTTTATTTCATTATAGTCTTTGGATAAATATCCTCCTAGTTTATCACTTTATTGCTAATAAGTTATTATTATCAAATATTCTATCAAGTCACTAAAATACAAGAAATTATAAAAGAATAAATTAAAAAAAAAAAAAAGGAGTATATCTAAAAATAAAAGAAATAAAGAAAATAAAATTCTTTAGCTTTTTTTAAAAACTTGCTTCTCAAAACTTCTTCTCAATAAGAAATATTTGATTAAGATATTATTTCTTCTTTTGACTATCTAAGAAACTTATTTTTATTTATTTATTTTTTTTTTTAAGGTTAACTCATTTCTGCGCCAGTTCTGAAGCTTTATTAAAGTCAAGATGAGTCCTAGGAACAACCGAGATGAATAATTACTCACACTGTCTAAGGATTTACAGATCAACGAATAGTACAAGAGGCATCTATTTACGTTTCACCCAACTAGAATAGAATAACCATATGATCGTCTAGTGTAGGACTTTTTCTTAATTCTAACTCAGCTAAGGATATAGGGGAGTCTTAATATATTCAATCTAATGAAGTGATCCTACTTATTACCTCGAATGTTTAGAAACGGTATTTTCTAGGACATAATCCACCAGATGACTCTGTTGCTATTCCCTTATAGGGAAGCTAATGTGTCAGGAACTCACCTAAGATGTCCAGCATCACTAATGTTGGAGGTCTCTTATATGGAATCCTATTGGCTCCATTAACACTTTTAAATTTTTTCTGGGGAGGCTTGTTGTGTTTCACATACTGTCTAATTACTTGATTGAAGTACCAGTCTTGTGAAAAGGACATTGATCTTTCAATTGGTAGTCTTGAATATCGAAACCTGTTATGCTTCTTTTAGCATCACACCGGATTGAATTTTTGACTTGTTATGGGCCTGTTATAGTCAGCTCTATGAGTGATCAGATCCTTCTTTTTCCTATTTGAGAGATGATCTTGTTTATGTTTCTGGAACCTTGCACTACTTATTTTGGTTATATTCATAGAACCTTGTGTATATCTTGTCTTGTTATGACTGCGATAAGTAGATAGGATCCTTCTTTACTTTTCTGTTAGGTACCTAAGATCAGTTGTGTGTGAAGACCTCGTGTTACTCATGTTAGCCTTAT